TTATGATAATCCATTGTAATAATAATGAATTATGGTCATATTTTTTTCAGCAGAGTATATTTTATAACTCTATTTTACTGATTATTTAAATTTAATTCAAAAATTAAAACAATTAAATTAAAAATTTTAATTAATTTAAACAATTCAAAAATTATTATTATTATTATTATTATTATTTAGTGCGATTTTCATCATTTTTTCGATAACGAGACATAAAAAAACTTAATAGGATTTGCGACTAAAATCATCTGTCGATATTATATTATTATATATGAAAAATATTAACGGATTGACGTCGAAGATTCACTGGGGAGCAAATTCCTCAGGAGAGGATATGATAGGATTCACGATTCAATACAACGTGTTCTTCTTTTTAACTTTACTTGTGTTATTGAGTAGACGCAACTTGTCTTTTATGCTTGAGCTCAGAGCTCGATCATCCGTTGTCAGCGCTGCTGGAGAAGGATTTCCGGCTTTCTGTCACTCTTCCTTAATATATATATATATATATATAACTCTATCTATATAATATAAAATAATGATAATAATAATATAATGATATATCTTTGGAAGAGCCAGACCCAGAGTGAGTCAGACGGGTTTACTTGGGAGTGGGCTAAAGAAATTCAATCGAGCACTGCACAAAATAAACGACTCCCAGATTATCCCCCTTATCTATCAACTCCTACACCAGCTTCGTATCTCGTCTTACAGATGCCTCTAGATATTTTAGTTCATAGAACGTAGAGACAACCACAATCACCATGATTTATCATGAGAAATTTATTAAATTCAATTCTATTCACTCTTTAAATTTACACATCCACATGAAAAAAATTATAAAAATTGTTATCTGGCAAGACTTTTTTTTTGTGCATTACTGAATCACGTAATTCTCAAAAATTCAAAAATTTCTTCTTTTACCAAACAATATTACAAAATTTTGCCAAGTTTGCTTTGAAAGCAAACAGACTATAAGACTTTTTAAAAATAAAGTAAAGACGAACTTTTCCGTCCACATTTAACGCATAAAAACAATTCAATAGAAAAAAACTCGATCGAATTTTCTTTCCTCGTTCTTTCTCGTAAAAATAAAATGAGTTTAGCAACGCGAATTCGAGCAATACAAACGAAATAAAATAAAAATAACCGAATTTACTGGAGTAACGAGCACTCCTAATTCAAAAGTAGATTTCAAGTGGCGCCAATTTATTTTGCCCTTAACACGACTCAGCTACTTTCGCTGTATACCACAGACATCCAAAGTACTGTAGTAGAACTGCGTAATACTTCTCTAGTAGGAACTTCGGTGCCATTAAACATCCCGTTTGTTTCTTTCATTCGCCGTTAGCCGTACTATAGAGTGGACGTAGACATATCCTGTAAAAAACTCTCGTTGGAAAACGTTCAAAGTACCTTACAGGACCAAATAATCCAAGAGTACCTCAACAACTCGTCTATGTGCTGTTGTTGACCCTACTTGAAGTACTTCACATTTTACCTCAACAATTTTAGATAAAGAAAGGTGTGAATTTTAGCAAAAAGTATCAAATAAAATTATTATAGGTCGTATTGTTATTTTTGATAAATTTATTTTGGTAAAAAATCATAAAATTAAAAAATTTTTCATTTTTTATTTAAAATACAATTTATAATTAAGATTAATTAAATTATCGATGTTTTTTTTTAATAATAGTTCAATTTATTCGAATTATTGAATTTTTTTGAAACGCATTGATGAAATTATTAATTATTGAAAAAATTTAATTAAAAAATTAACAATTTTAATAAATTGTTTATTACTCTTTTCTAAAAATTGATAATTTAATTAATGCACTTTAAAAAAAAGTAAATAATTGAAAAATTTAATTAGTGCATTTTTCATAAAATTAATAATTGAATGATGAATTAAATATAAAAAAAAATTAGACAGAGATGGAATATAATTTTTTCATTTCAATAACTCGTAATCCGATTAAAAACCACACATTTGTAATTAAACCAATAACCGATTCAGCAATTTCGATATTGCCATCACAATAGTCCCGATCACTTTTTAAAATAAAATAGATAAAAAAAACATATTTATTTTTATTTATCCCAGTTAGTTTGGTTTTATTTGATTTTTCTTATTGCTCAGTGGTTTTGTTTTATTACCTGACAGGCGCGATGACGCATGAAATTTTGGCAGGGGGAAGAGTTCATTTTCCTGAGAGTTTAGCGCCCGAGAGAGACACTAGATTCCACTGGAAGCTGCTCCAATTCAGTGTATATACTGGACATGACGCGTAGAAAGAATTTTAAGCCGATATCGAATTATAGATTATTTGATTCGGAAGCTAGCAACACGGTTTCCACCCCCCAGACTATCCCATCCTCTCTTTTCCTCACTCGGCTGTTGACGCGGTGAATTCTTCCGGGGCCATAATCCGCTTAACTTGACAACGTCGATTGCAAAAATTTGTGGAAGAGAAACGCTTTTACCAATACCGCGACTATTAAGCTCGCAGTGAGCATTCCCATGACACTTTTGTGTTTTCACTTTCCAATTTTCCTTTTTTTAACAGTTCAATTCTGTTTTGTTAAACTTTAAGTTATTGAGAACACATTTTGTTCATTTTTATCAAAAATTACTAGCAAAATTTCACTTTATTTAAGAATTTTTCAATTCTAAATTAAATTCGAAGATTTACACGGAAAAAAAAATATTCTTACTGGAGCCATCTATTAGATACCTACTCGTAGAAAGTTACTGTAGCATTATGCATTCCTACAACAGCAATACGGTATGGCTACTGGAGCGATCTGTTAGATAGCTAGAATCGCCAACTACATTTCTCTTACAACGCCCTCTTACCGGACAAAACATATTTATCCGGACCACATAAAAGTGACACACGTGTTTTTTTGTGCCAATGATCAATTTAAAAAAAATGACTTAAATATTTGTTTTAATTAAATATGGATTCGTGGGTAGGAAACATTTTACAAGAATGGAATCTTACTGATTACAAAAATCAATTTATTGATAAGTAAATACTTATTTATTTGTCATAAAATATGAACAACCAACCTCAAACCTCATGATTATAAAATCAAAACATTTCATTCTTCTAATCTTTTGTTAATTTTTATTTAAAAATTGTATGGATAAATAAAAAAAAATAAGTAATTAAGAATTAAAAAATAGATTACATATATTAAATTATCAAGTTTTTGAATGACACTGAAGTTGAAAGACATTAGAAATTTTTAGCAATAAAATTATTACGTAAAAAATTTAATGAAAAAATTCCACATGTGAGAATTAAAAAAAGTTCTTAGTGAAAATTTTTAGAAGTATTTTTTACTGTCATTGATTTGTTATAAAATTTAAAAAAAAATTGACAGTTGTCAATTAACTTTAGTATCACATTTTTGATATTATTTATTTATTTTTCATGTACCATTTTAAAAAAAATAATTATACAAATTAAATGTTTCTACACACATTCCTGTGTTTTAAATATTTCGACTGTTTTTTTTCGAATTTCGGAAGGGGTTTTAAATAATTTTTTGGTTCTATAAATTTGCTCCACCATATTTTTCATTAAATTATTCGGATTTGATTTTTTCATTGCACTAATTATTTTCAAATTTATTTAAAAAGTACCCAAACTATTAATATCTCTATTGGAAAAAACAAAAAATTAATAAGCCAAAGTTTTTTTTTAATTATAATCCATAACTCTTGACAGTCGCATATTAACTACAGATTGCTAGTAAATAATTATATTAATTTTAAAGGTTATAAAATATGTCAACAAACAAGACTGCGCGCAGAATCTGAGACTTCAACGAGGCGTTTACCCCTCACAGCAATCCCGTATTGCTCTCCCAGCTCAACGGTTTAGCTATTTTAGCCATCTACTGTATACCTGCCAGAGCGATCTACTAGATGGCTCTAGTAACTCTCTAACAGTTAGTCGAGTGGAGATAGTTACTGTAGCATTACAATATAGCTCTGAGAGCGATATTTTGTTTTCCGTGTACAGTTTAATTCCTGTCAAGATATAGTTGTCAATTTTACATTAAAAAATGTTAAACTTACACAAGAAAAAAATGTAAATTTAACACAAGGAAAAATTCTTTTTAAATTTTACATTACTAAAAATGCATTAAATAGATCTTTATAAAATCACATATGACCAAAACTATATAAAATTTTTTTTTTGTAAATATAATATTATTTAACATAATTATAAAACTTTTCAGTTGCTGTGTTTTGAAAAGGGATTAAATGTGCAAAACAAATATCTAGTTATTCGCATAGTTTTTTCATTTTTAAGACAAAAAATATTTCTGCGTTAGATAAAATAGATAAAAGTAGTTAAATAAAGAATATTCTTCTTTTCTGCTTTTCTTCTCCGTCAGAGTTTCAGTTAGTAAAGAAAAACATTATCCCGGAAAAAGCTGAGAAAATTTCCAACGTCTTTTTGTTGAAGAATGTCTAGCAAATAACAAAAAAATAAACGAGCTTCTGCGGCTGGTGAAAAAAATTAAGAAATAATAATATAAGATGGAAGGAAGAAAAAAAGGAAACAGTGGAGGGGATTTATGCCAGGAAATAAAGAACGTTAAATTTCTGACGAAGGCCACGGAAAAATGGCCTTCGTCGTATTAATTTGTCTACAACCCTCCTTGCACTTAACTCCTTTCTTCCCGTGCCTGCCTAATAATAATAATTACAATAATAACAACAATAATAAAACCAACAACTCTTGTGCAATTCCACTTTTTCCCCTTTTGGGTGTCCAGACTCAAACACGTTTTTATTATTAATTGCACCAGCTACCTTGTTTGTGGTGTATAAGATTATTTATTCAGCAAAGACTGTTAAATACTTGAATAACATGCCAGAACAACCAGCCAACAGACTCAATTATCAATAACTATATTCCGATATTTTATTCTTTCACTTAAATTGTTACTACATTGCATTATTAAGTCCATATGTTTTCTTAAAGTGTATTCTGTAAATGTTAATTCATTTTCATTAATGTTTCAATAGATAAATAATTATAATTAGAGAAGAGCTTTCTGTGTAAGTAAAGGAATAGTCCTTGTTCGTTCCCATGAAAAAAATGTTTTTAGACTTTTAATATTCTTTCATTGATTTCAATCATATACACAAAAACAATGTTTCTAACAGTGAAGGTTACAATAATAAAAAATTTTTGACGTACGGACTCAAATTTAGATAATCTGAATTTTTATTATTAAAGCGAATAATTTTTTAGCTTTCTAATATATATTATTTAAAAAAAAAAAAGTTTTCTTAGAAGCCTGAATTAATTATTGGGTAAAAAAGAATTTTCCTTTATTTTGTAATTTAATATCTTAAATTCAACTTTCCTATTAGGAGACGATTCAGCGATCCTACGCCATCTGTCGCAGCTTTGCAATACTATCTAGTCAAAAATTATATATGGGCATATATGACTATATAAAGCCTAATGTGGGAACATATTAACGTATTAGAAATTTTTTCACGAGTTATGGGTAATATTTACTTAGCGGTTATGATAAATACTCATGCAAACCACGAAGACATAAAAAATGTTAAAAGTTGGCTTAGAAAGGAGGTTTGTAACGTTACTTGGGAATAAGTCGGAACTAGAATTACAAGGACCGAAGAATAGGGGAAGTAGGAGCCAATATCAATTTTTCTCGAAGTTTACGTCCCCGTAACAAGATGTATCGGTAGTTGGTTCTGCGTTAAACTTTTGGCTAACAAGAAGCGTGTCTAAAGCAGCGGTGTGTGTTGCTTTTATATTTACCAACTTTTTAACTTAACTTTAAAGAGTCAAAAAACTCGGTCGTGAGCTGTAGCTCTACTATGCGGTAATTCCTTGCTTACACGAACAAAACGGGGAAATAAAAGTTGAGCCGGTGGACTTACTCAGGGACCCCCGCCATCAAAGTTATTTTTAAAAAGTTAACACTACACACCATGTTATACAAATTTTTATTTTCTTCTTTATTCTACGCTATATTTTATTTAACGCGGAATAAACACTGCGGGAAGGTTGAAACTAACTCACATTCCCCGAGTCGAAAAATTTAAACTGATTTTAAGCTAAATGATCTGAATTTGAACTTATTGATCTGTATTTCAACTTTAAAAAACATTTTTATCGGTATTTCATCTACTATTCAAATTATTTTTGATCGGTTTTAAGTCTAAATAACCTTTTAGTAAAATAATTGAGCAACTATGAATATTTTATGCTGTTTCTAATCTAATGAAACTAAAAAGTTTTAAAAGTTTGATCGGTTTTTAGTCTAGTTAATTTGTAGATGGACTTTATATATTGTTTTCAAATTCAATATGAAATCTTATACTGTTTTTGATCTACAATTTTCACTCTAAATGTTCGAAGGCCAAAAGTCGACTAAGATGGTGACTTATAATTTTTTGGACTTAAAAGTATCTCATTAAAAATTATCAGTCCTAAGATGGCGACTTATAATTTTTTTGACTCAAAAGTATCTCGTTAAAAATTATAAGTCGCATTTATTTAAAAAAATGAATTAATTTATAATATATTCATGCGCTCTTTTGTTTTATAAACTGAACGTCGATTATAACCTTATATCTGTCATATTTATTTGTCATAGCTCAACATATCATGGATTATGAAAGTTTTGTAACTGCGAATATTAGTTGCAGTGATAACTAATAAATTTGTATTCATATACGTTTATAAAATAGTTCTCATCGTTTAATTATGGATCTAAATGTAGAGTTTTCTAATTATCGTTATTAAACACAATGTGAATACATCGAGACAAAATTAAAATGTTGACAAGATTAATGTTAAATTTTATACTTTCACGCATCATTCAATGAGCGGTATCCACTATTTGGTAGTGCGAAGAGTACCGTTTGGTATACATTGCACTACGAAATAGTTCAAAAAAATTACACACACATATTAATAGCAACGGCTTTGAATACTGGCTCGTTACATCGACAACGAAAAGAAGTGCATATAGAATTTTTGACTGTACATTGATCGTCTTTGAAACAGGCTTCACCTAAAATTGGTGAACATGTCGCTTGGTTAACTTGAGTGTTATTTGATTTACAAAAGCAAGTGTGATCTAATGGACAACCTGAATGCCAATGCTCTCCACATTCAATACCAATGTTACAAGAAACTGCTGATGATTCTGGAAAGTAAAACGAAATCAGTATCAAGGAAACTATTTTTTGATAGTCATAAAAATTTTTTGATTCATGTACTTACTCAATGCACATTGATTCTTTGAAACAGATATATAGCCCCGTTGACATGCACAAAAATTATTAAAGCATCGAAAATTTGCAAATGCACAATCAATGTCTCCTGAACAATATCCACCAATCCCCGGCACACAAGTGATTCCGTCATCGAGTGCATAATAATTTTCATGACAAACACAAACTCCGTTGGAACATTGAGAATTTCTGGTAGTACCACAATCATGAACCGATTCGCAAGGAGATCCTAGGCTGACTATTGAACGAAAGAAAAAGATTATGAATCATGGAAATCGATATAAGCAATATGAAATTCTTGACAAAATTCAATCTTACTCCTTTTACACTTAAAAACCCCATCGATTATCTGGCCTACGAAATTCCTTGTGCATTGACATCTGTTGGAATGACGGTAAGAACTTTTAGATATACAGTCACTGTTTTTTGTACAGAATCCAATTACAGGTAGTAAACATGCTCCATTTTCTGATGTAACATAGGTTGATTTACAGACACATGTCTTATTTGTCGAGCATTCAGCGAATGGAACATTGATACAATCGTAATTCGACCGACATGGTTTTTTAAGTACTAAAAATAAACGGATATTTGAAAAAATATGATCTGATTGATTAGTGAATTTTTGTTATTCAATCGTACCTACCAGGAACACATTTTTCACCATGCATAATTTCAAAGTAAGGCCTACATTGACAAGTGAAATCGACACATGTAGAATTTTCGATTGAACAATGTGCGTCTTTAGAACAATCTTCGCCCAAAGGGGGCGAAAAACTTGTTACGTTGTAATTGATGCTAAAAACGCATTCATTATACTTAAAACATGTTGAATTTTTTATATATCTACAATCGTCATCATTTTTGCATTTTCCATACAGTAGCGCTAACAGAATCAAGATAAATCTAACATTAAAAATTCTGAATGATTCGTTTTCATGATAGTGATACTTACTTGCTAAACATCGATTATTGGACTGCGCCATGAAATTTGGATTGCATTTACACCGACCATTAACACAGTCTGAATTGTTAACAACACAAGGTTTACTTTGTGAACATATCTCATTCAACAGTGGTAAGCAGTTTCTACCATCGACAATAACATGATTTGCCGGACAATAACATTTTCCTTGATTGCATAACAAAAATTCAGCTGCTTGATACTCTTCCTTACTGCTGTTGCTGCTTAGCTCCAAGAAAGCTATCACAAAATTACAATGTTAATCCATAACCTTCTGTCTACTATTATTAACCGTAAAGCCTCAAATCAAAACGATTATAAATTTTTCTTTACTCACAAGGTAAACAATGTTCATTGGATAGTGAAATGAAACCACTAGCACAATGACACCTTCCGATAGCACAAACAGAATTATCAGGAAAACATTCTATATCTTTTTCGCAAAACGACCCTATCAACGGCCGATATGTAGAAAAATCGTCTTTAACATAATTTGATTCGCATACACACTTGCTATCTTCAGAACATTTTGTGTACTTTCGGTCGGTGCAATCATAACCATTGACACAAAGTCTATCTGGAACTGATTTTGACTCTCAATAAAAAATATATCCACCCAAGACTTTATAAACGTTTGCACTTACTTTGTATACATTTATCACCAATCCATTCATAGTCGACATCGCATAAGCATTCATATGTTGACTCTTAATCTTTGACCTTTTACATACTAGATGTTGCCCAAATACGGTTGTTTAGAAGATGGATTACACTGCCGACAAAATGACACAATGTCAAAAATTAACATTCTCGAAAAACTGAAAAATTTTTGTGATTACTTACAACATCTCTGAAGCTCGGACACCGAAATTTCATCAGACGGTGCTTCGAACTAATAGGCACCACAATTATACTCAGCAAGCCGCTGATAATGAAAAAAGCTTTTCCAAAATTCATTGTTTTATTGATTAAGTACTTAAATAATATGAGACATTGACTATTGTCTGGAATATTACTCTTTACATAAATATTAAATCAGGTCTAATAAAACACTAATAACTTCACATTAAATAAATGATGATAGACTAACGACATCACATCAAATTAATGATGATAAAATTTTTTTTAATTTTTCACTTTTGTTATTGGTTAACGATGTCGAAGTATTAAAAAATATCAATTCTTAGTTGATAAAAAATATTTTAGAACTCTAATCTAAGATCATTTAATGATTTATAATTACTTTGTTTTTTTTCTTTTTCAATAGATATTGAAGCTATTAAAGTCAGATTAATTACTTACTATTGAATTCATCCACTCAATTCTCTTATTAAAAGTATTCTTTTGAAATAAAACGAGGTAAGGTAAAAACCCCATCAGTGGCACCTTTAACCCCTATTAGTGGCACTTTTTCTTTCAATGAAAAAATGTTCTACTTGGAATAAAAATTAAAAATTTTTTTGATCTGAAGGTCTTAAAGATTAGAAATAATATATTCATTATTGAAATTAATGATTTCATTAATTGAATAAGTACCAAAATCAAAGAAAGTGTCAGTAATGGGGTCTTTTACCATAAATGCAAAATAATTTTTTTTTTTTTTTTTTTTTTTTCAATATAAATTTAACATAGTTTTATATTTTCGTACTATATAAGTTGACGTGATTTATAGTGTATAATTTTTAAAAAATAACAATCTTAATTAAATTGTCACGGTTTTTTCCTTCTATACATAATTACAATAACAACCATAAGCGTTTTTGTCGATCGGTATTAAATACTAAAATACGTAAAGTAAACCTGTCTGAATAGGAGTAAAACCTTGCGGTTTAATACCGAGCATTGTGTCGACCACTCAGACAACGTGTTGCGGCTTTTCGTGTAACACGGTGTACAGTGCAGCGCAAGAACCAGATTCATGGGGCATGGCCAGTTGGTTACGATGTTTTATGCTCCAAAGTGCTCTGCACGTCAGACTGCAATTGTACTGGTCGTACTCGGCTCTGCAGGAGATTAATATATGTAGTGTACTTCCCAACGCAGGCCTCCAAAGTAAAGAGACACGTAAGTTCTCTTGCTTTGTGGGTTTTTACATGAAATAAGCTGACCATACAACTCCTAAAAAATAATATTTATATTTATTTTACCTTGAGGAAAAAAATTTTTAATATTCCGTAAATATTTTTATCAAATTTAATTTTTCTAGATTTATTGTATTGCTGATAAAAATTACATTTCAATTTTTTTTCTTAAAATTTTTGACTTTTCTAATTTCATTTTTTAATTAAAAAGTCATCAAATTTTAATATCATTAATTTTTTACAATTGTTGGGTTAATTAAAAATTTTTAAGGTATATTATTGTAATTTTTACAAAAATTGTAAATGCGGATTTAGGGTCTGAAAGTACAAGTTCCATATTATTTGGAATCCCGCTTTGAATGTACGGTATATAGCGCTTGATACTACTGCGTTATAAGTAAAGTTACACTCACAATATGAGTAAAGTGTGAGAGCAAAGACGGAAATAGAATGAAAAGCCAGTACAGTGAGAAATCGTATATATTAAACCGCGTTACTTTCAACGGTACTACCGCAGCAGAGCAACCAAACGTAACTTTACGCTTTGCGCACGTATTACCACAAGATAACTCGGTTCCCCTCATTTTTATTTTTTATTTTATTTTCTATTTCTTCTTGCTCTTTTATTTACATTTTTCCTCTTTACTTTTGTTTCGCGATCCTCAAGTGCAAGTGTAAGTAAACCCACCACTTCCAATGGGAATTTTCCACGTACGGAGAAATACCCACACGTCATACATCATCATATATTAAAAGTTGATGTAGGAAATTCAAAAGCGTCTTTTACTTCGACACCTTTTCATTTACTTTTTTCGTTTATTTATATTTATTCATATTTCTAGTGTTAATTTTTTTTTTTAAATAATCGAACCGCAAACCGAAAAATTAATGCCACAATTTTATTAATGACTCCTAAGTAAAAGTAACATAAATTTGAATCATCTTTGAAAACTGAATTTTTACACAAAAACAAAAGTTTATGGAATATGTATAAACTCATGTATATTCCCAGAAAATTCAATTTTTTACAAATAAATTTTTTTGACAATTTTTTCGTCTTAACATTTTTCATAATTTTCATTAATTGAATTTTAATATCAAATTTATCTATAGCTAATTAAATTGAACACAAATCCAATTTACTTTTTCTCAATGTGAGCGTAAATTCAATATTAAAATACTTCCAGTATTTCGGTCCGAATAATACGACGTAATTACAAATAATTCCGTAAAATTCAATAATAATACAGGTGATTATTTTTCGCTGGAGCGAAAATATGACCAATCATTCGTGCAAGGACTGTAGAACTTGTTAGATTAATTTGATATTCCTGACAGATAGGGTGTCCGACTGACAAAAATAAAAATATCGATGTATATTTTATCTATATACAAATTTATATTTATATATTGTATTGAAGCGAAGCATTGTCGACGATGCAATGATATACTGTAAATGTTCTGCATCCCTGACTCTGCCTGTTACTGTCCATTTAGCGTCGCTGCACATGAATCTATAGTACGTATATATGGACATGGACGCAGGTCGACTTATAAACGAGGAAACTAATGCATCACGCAGACCGCGAAAATTTATACTTCCTTCAGTTAGTGAGTGAAACGCATTATCCGGGAAAACAAGTGGAGTCCCGTAAAAAAATTAATATCAAAACGAAATAACCTATTCGAGCTTTAATACGTTTTTCCGAGGAAAAGCATATAATTAAAAATCAGTCTTTGATGTTTTTTTCTCAGTGAATAAATAAACTATACGATTTGAAAACTCTAGTGGAAGAGTTTTTAATGAAATTTCTGTCGACGGGTAGCTTTAACGCAAATTATATGCACTTATATAACAGCATATATATGTACATGTTATATGTATACATAGGAGGCTGAAGCTGATACTTGGAGCTTCAAAGCAACTTTATTTTCCAGCACATTTTGGATGCAATCGAATTTCTGCCGAGAGTGCGCCGTAATTTGTGAAAATATATGACTAGGTCTGGCTATTTCTTCTCGGGACAGCACAATAGTGTAAAAACGGTCTAATGAAAGTAAACAGTCATCACTCAGCACAAAAGCTATAATTGCAAGAACAGGACAATTGGATATGCCTGAATCGAAAACAAAGAAGTTTGCAAATCACAAACTATAACCTCATCGCAGCGACTGCGGTTCGTGTTTGTTAAGTCTCAAGTATAATAATGTACCAACATCTTTCACTGTTAACCGTTACATTAGTTTATACCCACACCTGTAACCTGTATTCATGAACAAAACAAGGCTAACATTGTATTGTTAAACTCGGTTAGATTTCATCATCGTCCCTGCAAATAAACTTGATAATTCATTTGTTCCATTTGGTGAAACAAAGACAAATATTATTGTGCTTTCATTTCAAAAGATTGCATAACAACAGCCTGGAGTTTGTTAATTCTGTTTTATTTACGTCTCATCTTCGGGTATATTGATGCAGCAAAGGTTACAATAAACAAGCTTTTATTTCAAGAGGAACATTAACATACTAATTTATGGAATTTCATCGACGGTACTACTGTTTATAATTTTACTGGGGAATTAATTTTGGAACGATCAGGTCAAATTGAAGATGATTGCTGGAATGATGAAAAATAATATTTAAAATTTATGAAATGTAATGTAAATAGCTTAAAATTCGGCTACTTATTTACTATTTACACAAAAATTGTTGGCACCTGCGAAAAAATTTTTAAGAAAAAAATTTTACAATCAATCTAATCCAAAGTTGTAAGCAAAGTAATGTCGATGTCAAGAATTAGGTTGTTATCTTTTCTTCTAACGATATGATTAATTATATATTAGACGATAAAACTTAATGATTTTGTTTTAAAATTTTCTAAAGATACTGATGTTCAATTACATTGTTATTCATCACATTCCTTAACTTTTATTTTTATTGATATACACGGGAAGAAAATTGAAGGAGTTATTACTATTTTACTATTGTAATTTTTACTAAATAAAAAGCCAGAGACTCTCCCTCTAGGCTATCCGAGGTAAACTAAGACCCATGTTCTTTAACATTTATATAAACTCAGAGTCTAGCGCTGTGCACGGCCATCACTCACACTAATTGAGAGATATTCCAATTCAACTATTGTAAAATTTGCTATAGTTCTATTGGAAAGATACAGAGGCAGCACTGGAAATTTTCATCTCTTACTTTTTACAATAGTAATATCGTATTTTTTCATTAATAAATAGTATTTTTTCTTCTAAAATATTTGATAATTAATAGTAATAAAGGTATAGTCCAGCTTTACAATAGTTGTATCGTAAATTTTCCCAGAAATTTTTTCCCGTGTATGCAATTATAACGAATACAATCAACATCGAAGATATCCACACTATTGACCTATTTTCTGAATTTGTAATTGTTTTTATAATTATTGACAACATTCAGAAAATTAGTCAATAAATTTTTTGTTACTTTAGATTCAATTTTCTATGACACAAGTTCAAAAAAATTACAGACACATATTAATAGCAACAGCTTTGAATACTGGCTCGTTACATCGACAATGGAAAGAAGTGCATATAGAATTTTTGACTGTACATTGATCGTCTTTGAAACAGGCTCCACCTAAAATTGGTGAACATGTCGCTTGGTTAACTTGCGTGTTATTTGATTTACAAAAGCAAGTGTGATCTAATGAACAACCTGAATGCCAATGCTCTCCACATTCAATGCCTATTTTACAAGAAACTGCTGATAATTCTGAAAAGTAAAACGAAAACAGTATCAAAGAAACTATTTTTTGATAGTCATATAAAAATTTTTTCATTTATGTACTTACTCAATACACATTGATTGTCTGAAACAGATACATAGCCCGGTTGACACTTACAAAGACTACTAAAGCATCGGAAATTTGCGAATGCACAATCAATGTCTCCTGAACAATACCCACCAATCCCCGGCACACAAGTGATTCCGTTATCAAGCGCATAATAAGTTTCAAGACAAACACAAATTTTATCATGCGAACATTTAGAATATTTAATAGTGCTACAATCATGATCTGTTTCGCAAGAAGATCCTAGGCTTTCTTATAAACGAAAAAAATAGATTATGAAACATGGAAATCGATATAAGTAATATGAGATTCTTGACAAAATTCAATCTTACTCGTTTTACACTTAAAAACCCCATCGATTATCTGGCCTACGAAATTCCTTGTGCATTGACATCTGTTGGAATGACAGTAAGAACTTTTAGATATACAGTCACTGTTTTTTGTACAGAATCCAATTACAGGTAGTAAACATGCTCCATTTTCTGATGTAACATAGGTTGATTTACAGATACATGTCTTATTTTTCGAGCATTCAGCGAATGGAACATTGATACAATCGGAATTCGACCGACATGGTTTTTTAAGCACTAAAAATAAACGGAAATTTGAAAAAATATGATCTGATTGATTAATGAATTTTTTTTATCCAATTATACCTACCAGGAATACATTTCTCACTATGCATAATTTCAAAATAAGGCCTACATTGACAAGTGAAGTCGACACATGTAGAATTGCCGATTAAACAATCTGCGTTTGTAGTACAATTATTGCCCAAAGGGGGCGAAAAACTTGTTACGTTGTAATTGATGCTATAAACGCATTCATTATACTTAGAACATGTTGAATTTTTTATATAGCTACAATCGTCATCATTTTTGCATTTTCCATACAGTTGCGCTAACAGAACCAAGATAAATCTAACATTAAAAATTCTGAATGATTATTTTTCATGATAGTGATACTTACTCGCTAAACATCTATTATTGGACTGCGCCACGAAATTTGGATTGCATTTACACCGACCATTAATACAGTCTGAATTGAAAACAACGCAAGGTTCATTTTGTGAACATATCTCATTCAACAGTGGTAAGCAGTTTCTACCATCGACAATAACATGATTTGCCGGACAATAACATTTTCCTTCATTGCATAACAAAAACTCAGCTTCTTGACACTCTTCCTCACCGCTTTTGCAGCTCAGCTCCAAGAAAGCTATCACAAAATTACAATGCTAATCCATAACCTTATTTCTACTAATATTAACCGTAAAGCCTCGAATCAAAACGATTATAAATTTTTCTTTACTCACTAGGTAAACATTGTTCATTGGATAGTGGAATGAAACCATCGGCACAATAACACCTTTCATTAGTACAAACAGAATTATCAGGATAACATTCTATATCTCTTTCGCAAAACGACCCTATCAACGGCCGACATGTAGAAAAATCGATTTTAGCATAATTTAATTCGCATTCACATTTGCCATGTTCAGAACATTTTGTGTACTTTCGGTCTCTGCAGTCATAATTATTGACACAAAGTCTATCTGGAACTGATTTTGACTCTCAATAAAAAATATATCCACCCAAGACTTTATAAGCGTTTGCACTCACTTTGTATACATTTATCACCAATCCATTCGTAGTCGACATTGCATAAGCATTTATGTTGTTGATTCGTGAATTTTGACCTTTTACATACTAGATGTTGACCACAACACGGTCGATTATAGAATGGGCTACACTGCCAACGAAATAACACAATGTCAGATATTAGCATTCTTGAAAAACTAAAAAATTTTTTCGATTACTTACAGCATCTCCGAAGCTGGAGCACCGAGTTTCTATTTCAGTAATTATCGAAGCAATAGGTGTCACAATTATGCTCAGCAAGCTGCTAATACTAAATAAAGTTTTTCTAAAATTCATTGTTTTATTGATTAAGTACTCAAATAATATGAGACATTGACTATTGTTTAAAATATTACTTTGTATATAAATCTTAAGTGAGGCGTAGTAAAACACTAATGACTTCACATCAAATTAATGATGATAAAATTTTTTTTTATTCTTTAATTTTGTTATTAGTGAAAGATGTCGAAATAACAAAAAATATCAATTCCTAGTTGATAAAAAATATTTTAGAACTATAATTCTAGATCATTTAATGATTTATAATTACTTTTTTTTTTTTTTTTTTTAACAGATATTGAAGCTATTAAGGGGCACACTGTCCTTGTGTAACAGCCTAAAAAAAAGACGATTTTTGGGAATTAAAAAAAGAAACTACTGTATCAATTGTTTTAAAATTTTAAGGGTATATTTATACATATTTTAAGAATACACAGTAAAATTTTTGAAGAAAAAAATTAAATATTTTTTGAGTTACACGCGATCTTCGATGACGCTACAAAAAAAAGGTCTTCCACTGCTGCAGTGATTCCGGCCTTTTCCATGAATGAAACATAAAAAAAAAATTCTCGTTCAACTAGAAGATATTGTTCGTACAATGACCCTAAATCGAAAAAAAAATATCAAAAATTGACAAAATGGCGGCGTTTTTAAAAAAAAAAGTTGAATTTTACCCAAAATTTTAGTCGTTTTTGGCATGTCAAAATTCGATTTTTGATCAGATCAAACAACTGGTAGGTCATTGTATGGAGAACTATATACAGAACATGCAGAAAAAAAATTGATAATGATCGGATCATTTGTCTTCGAGTAATCACTGCAGCCAATTCGAAAAATGCTGTTTCGAGAAAAACCCGTTTATAGATAACATGATCCTAACTGCCGAGTGGCTACTCTAGAAATGGCTGTACCTCAAAAACTATTTGAGATATCGATTAAAAATTTTAGTATGTTATTTTTAAAGGTATAACCTATCGAAATATGAGTAAAAAAAATCGATTTTTTTTTAATTTCATACTAGGTGTGCCCCTTAAAGTTAGATTAATTACTTACTATTAAATTTAATCACTCAATTTTATTATTAGAAGTATTATTTTGTAATAAAACGAGGTAATTGCAAAATAAAATTTTTTTCTATCAATCACAATTTTTATGATTTGATAAAATAGTTTTTTTGATGAATTTTAAAGAAGTTCATTTTGTAATATATTATATTTATTGAAGTATTCCAAGACAATAAGCCGGATAACAAATGATAATACATGACTTATAAAAGTTTATTACAAACAGAATATAAAATAATAACAAACTTAAAGTGCAAGTACATTCAATAAGATGAAACAAATAATAGATGAAAATTGATGAAAGATAAATAGTGTAGAGTTGCAAATTAGATAGTAATTTTACAGTAAAAGAAATTTAAATTGATGTTTATTAAAAGTTCAGACAGTAGCAAAAACTGCAGCAGACTTTCAGTGCATGTGTTGTTCAATTTGGAATTGATACACACAAATTATTTGCGACAGGTTTAAAATTTGGTGATTGGCATTTGCAGTGAAAATCTTTGCAAACAGAATTTTCAACCACACATTGATGATTTTTCAAACAAGGACCTCCTAACATAGGTGAGCAGGTAGATTTATTGACAAGTGTATTATTCGTCTTACAAAAGCAGTTGTGATCCGGTGAACATCCAGCATGCCACGGTTCTCCACACTCTATAGCCTGATCACAATAAACTGCGGATGATTCTTCGAAACAAAATCCGAAATATTTATAAAAAAATTTTTTCAAATGCTTGTAGAAATCTGTACCGTTACTTACTTAGCACGCATTCATTTTCGGATACAGCTGAACAATCACGATTGCACTGGCATCTTCCATTGAGACAAAATGAATTTTTCACTCGGCAATCTTGATGTATTGAACAAGGTCCGCCGATCTTTGGTAAACACTTAGTTCTGTCTTCAAGAGCGTAAAAATTTTGGGAACAAGAACATATTCCATCTGACGAGCATATGAAATTTTCGGAAAATTCACAATCTTTATCTTTTTGGCAAGGATGTCCCAAAAGCTCTGAATAAAAGGGAATACACACGATCAATAAAAGCAAACGACTGAGCTAAAAAAGTTATCAATATCAATAATGCAGAATCTGTGCTTACGTGAAAGACACGAATATATTCCATCGGTTAGCACAAGGAGATAAAATTTCTTGCATTGACACCTGTTGTAATGACAATAAGAATTTTCGATTGTGCAGTCATCGTCTATGTAGCAAAGTCCAGATATGCTAGGTAAACATATCATATCTTTTTCTGCAGCAAAGTAATCCGGTTCACATTCACATGTATTATTTTGAGAACATTTTGTGAATGTTCCTTCATGGCAATCAGAGTCTGTCTTACAAAAGTTATGAAGTGCTGAAACATTTCGGCGTTAAAAATTGCTCTGTAGTCCTCAATCACATTACTTACCTGTAACACATTTTTCATTGAAAGAACTCTTATAAGAATTCTTACACTTGCAAAATCCATTGAAACAGATGGAATTTTCAATCATGCAGTCAGCGTTTGATTCACACTTTTCACCAATAAGTGGGACGCAAGTAGTTTCATTAAAATGAAAATAATTATCAATACACGTACAGTAATAATATTTTGAACACTTTGAGTTATCTAAATATCTACAATCGTCATTAATTTGGCAGTAGCCGTTTAGTTTAGCTAAAAATAAAGATTAATTAGTAATAATAGTTTTGTTCATCCTTTTTTGTTTTTAATTATTACATACTTGGTAAACAGCGATTGTTAGATAGTGCTATATAATCCGATTTGCATTGACACACATTGTCACGACAAATAGAATGTTTTATTGCACACTGCCCATTTTTTGCGCAGTTTTCATGTAAAAGCGGCTGACAAGTCATATTACCCACAACATGATTCGGATGACAATGACATTTACCATGCAAGCACCCAGAAAATTCCTCATCTTGGCACCTTTCGTCACCGGCAGAACATGTCAGCTCAAAGAAAGCTAGAACAAAGTCAAAGTTATCTAGTACCAATTCTTTCTGTTTTTACCAGATCTACTTACTTGGTAGACAAAGATCGCTGACTGTGGATAAATAATTGCATTTACACTTGCAAAATCCGTCAAGACAAATCGAATCATGCGGAAAACATTCATAATTTCTAGAGCAGGCCGCTCCAATCAATCCTTGGCATGTACTAGGATTTGTTTTAACATAATTTGATTGGCATCTACATGAACCATACGCAGTACATTCTGAAAACTTTTGTCGTTCGCAATCGGTATTAGTTATACAAGATATATCTGGAACTATTGGAAATTTATGTTTGTAGTTATTATGGAAATAGAGGAAAATTTTAATGGATATTTCATCAAAAATGACTCTTACCATACTGACATCGACCATCGTTCCATTCATAGTCAGGCTTGCAAACACATTCATAACGCTTATTTTTTGATTGTTTGCATTGAAGCTTTTCACCACAACACGGATTCTGATCATTTGGAAAACACTAAAAAAATCAACAAAATTTGAAAACAAAGTCCTTTTAAAAAAGATAATTATTTTTGACATCTTACTAAATCTCCGTAAGTTGGACATTTATTTTCTTCTGCTCCAAAGACTAATGAATTAGTGAACTGTATTGTTACAGTCACGTAAAAAACAAACAACGCTCTTCCAACAATCATTTTATTTCATAAAGTGATAAATTTATTGAGTTTTTGAAGAACAATGGTTGATTGATAACAAAAAATTAACTAATATACAATTAAACGCTCATTAATATCGAAAATGAGTTTTTTTATCTATCATTTTAAACTAAAATAACGAGGCCCCGGTGATTTTTAATGGTTATAATAAAAAATACTTGACAACTTTTAATTACTTTATTTTTCAATATCCGATAACTTAGACACAAATCTTAGAAAAAAAACAAAATAATTAATGATACACTTGATTATCAGAAGTAGACAATTACTGTGCGCAGCACTAATTGATCTAAACTTAATGGGCTTAATCTAAAAAAAATAAATATTTTATTAACACTTGAACCAAAAACAATGAAATGTTAATTTACTAACCAGGTATGCAAAGATTAGTAGCTACGGCTTTAAAACTCGACTGACATTGACAATGAAAATCAATGCAAACAGAATTTGGAAGCAAGCATTGGTCATCTTTCCAGCAAAGTCCGTTCAAAAAAGGATAACATGTCGCTTTATTGATCAATCGATTGTTTGATTTGCACACACAATAATTTTGTTTTGAGCATTCTGCATGCCACGGATCTCTTCATTAATAATCGGTCCGCAAAAAGTTTGATTGTTAAACTCATAATGATTTGTCCGACAAGCACATACTTTATCATCTGAACATTGAGAGTTCTGTATCAGTGCACAATCTTTATGATTTCCACAGGGAACTCCTAAAACAACAGCTTGAAAAGAAAAAATTATACCTTAAAACTGCGGAATGTAAATGGTTAATTAACAATCTATACCAAAAGTTTCTTACTTTGTTTGCATTCATATTTTTGATCAATAACCTTAGCAACGGAATATTTATTGCATTGACATCTTCTAAAATAACACCTAGAGTTTTCCGTCACACAATCATCATCTACTTCACATTCTCCACCTATAAGTGGCAAACATGATGTCTCATCCTTTGAAGCAAGATAGTTTGATTCACAAATACATTTTTTATTTGAAGAACACTTTGTGAATTTTATGTTAACACAATCTTCATCCGAATGACAGAATTTATGAAGAACTGAAATAACAAAACCATCAACAAACATTGTCAGATTAATTCAATCTTACATTCATAGAAGTGATACTTCCAGGTAGACATTTGTTGGAAATAAATGTAAAATTAAACATGCATTGACAAGAATTGTCAATATAGACAGAATTTTCAACAGTACAATCCATGTATGAAGCACATGGCCTGCCGATATTCGGAGAGCAAATTGTTTCCGTCTGTTGATAATAATTTTTTCTACAAATACAGCCCTTAAACTCAGAAAATTTAGAGTTTTGTATTTTACTGCAATCGTCATCGAATTTACACTTATAATTCAAACGCGCTAATCAAGGAATATTAAATATCAATTTAGAATTTATATAAATCTTAAAATAAAGGTCATACTTGGTAAGCATAGATTGTTGGCCTGCGCAGCATATTCTGGCTTGCATCGACACTTATCGTTCACACAAGCCGAGAAATCGATTAGACAGTGTTTATTCTCAGTACAATGCTCGTTTAATAGTGGGACGTACTTATTATTCAACGCAATATAATTTGGTTGACAAAAGCATTTACCATCTTCTGTGCAGGAAAAAAATTGAGCTTCTTGAAACACTTCGTCTCTCGGGTTACATTTCAAGTCAAAATAAGCTATAACGAAGTGTCAATAACAAGTTACACAATTTTTTACTCGTTTTTAATTTTGGGATTCGCAGTCTCTATCGAATACGCAAATGTTTCCTACAACTATTTTGAAATTATACCAATATTTTTTAACTTACCACTAAAGAAATTGAAGATTTAAAAAAATTGAACAGTACTAAAGAGTTTGATTGCTCTTTGACTGTAAACTACAACCATAACGACTAACGCATGAATATCCTGGCTAGCTCCTCTAGTTTATGCACATCAGACACTGATGGCAGAGCGAACTCGTGGCCCTAGGATACGAAGGATTTATTGCCACCGCAAAATGTGTGTTCCTTGTCTGGTCGAGTCGAACGAAATTGCAAATGAGACAGCGGCTGTTGCAGTCCCCGTGCGACTGAGAAAACAATAAAACTGCTTGGTCCTGGTTTCTGTGAAAGACAGCCCTTTAATTCAACCGCAATTATCCATCACTCAGCCTGTCTATGCATTAAGGAATCTTAAAAATGAGACCAACATTGTTTTTTATGTTTATTTTATAAACAAATAAAGGTTGGATACAATTTAAAATATGACGCAGCACATTTATACTCACGGAAAACTTTCTTTCAAGCAACTTCTTTGTGTAGTCATATTTTCAGGGTAAAAATTTTACCACAGTAAGACCACAAACTAAAACGACGCACCTACACTAAGTCTTGCGATATAATGAGTGTAATAAAGGAGGATAATAAGAATGAGAATATAACGAGGAGGGAGAGTTAGTGACTAAAGTGGTGCTGTAATCCTTGGAGACTTCTGTAATTTTGTTGAGAGTTGAGACTAACATATTATTTTTTTTGCCAAAACTATTTCGCTCTCCAACAAGTTATTTTCATAAAATTTCATTTTATTAAATATTTTCACTAAATACGCGTGTATGAAAAGCCAGTCAAGGCGAAACAATGAAAGCATTTTCGTGGAAGACTAAATGAAAAAAAAAAAAAAAAAAACGGTAGGGGTATTTTCTATGTCTGTGATGTCTGGATAGAGGGCAAAATAAAGTTTTTAATTTCACAGCAGAATTGTTTCTATTGTGCTGTCTGCTTGGTCGAGCATTTATTATTTTCAAAAGTCTTACAAAGGTATATTTTAAAAAGGCGCTGCTTATTCTATTCGTCACATTACGACTTAATCAGACATTATCATTCGTCTCATCACAACAAAGTTATAATATAACGTTTCATTCTTATTGTCGAGTTTGTTTTTCATTATGCAACAATTTCGTTTGAAATACAACCCCGGACAAAATGAAAATAAAATTGTATCAAGAAATTTTCACTTTTCCGTACATTTTTTTTATTTCTATTTTCTTAGAGCTCTCTCTACTCTATTTTCTCAAACTCGGAGGAATAACTTCCGAGATATTGAAAGGGTGACTCCCCTTTGAGAAAAATTTATTTTCTTGCTTACTTTAAATTGTCGAAAGGAGAAAAAAAGCGTCCCATGAATCCGAGAAGCGGATCGTAAAGTAGAACCGGTGAAGTTTATTTTTTTCTCGACCAATGTGTCATTTCTTGGCGTTTTGTCATTCGTGTGTGGAATAGAAGGGAGTTTTAAGAAATAAAAAGAAGACTGGAGGGAAATAATAAATAGCGACACATGCTATTTTTATGAGATTATTGTTAAAGCTATTGGAAGTTATACATTTTGGGTGAAGGCATATTTTTTTTGTGAAAAAAATAGACACAACACTAAAACGTCGATTCCTTTCTCTTGTCAAGATAAACGGCGACTCATAGAATTATATTTCCGAGATTGCAAAATCATTGAGAAGATTGCCAAGAGTCTCTTGTCGTCCGTGCCATTGATAACGGTTTGAAAAAATAAACCCGTTGAAAGAGGAGTCTGCTGATAGATAGCTTCGAAGGAATGGGAAGAAGCGAGAGGGAGAGCCATTCAAAATGAAGATAAAAATAGCGAGCATGAAAGAAGATAATATAAATGCTCGAGGTGAAAACTCATGATTTCATGCTATTTATTGGAAACGTGTACTTCGGTACCTTTTTCCCGTGCTTTTTTAGTCAATTGGAAGTAATGTTATAAATAGCTCTCAGTGGTGAAAGGAATCCGTGAGTATCATCGAGCTTTTTAGATATTGAATTATATTATTAAAATTATTTCATTTATTAAATTATTTATATAGTTCAATTAGTAATTAAAAAATTGATAAAAATTTTTTTATTTATTGTTTCATAGTACAGATTTGTAATAAAAACTCTGAAGTAATAAATTTTATTACTATATCAACAAAATGAAATGATAAATTTCTTGCAATAATTGAAACATTAATTTAAATTGTATGCTGGTGTTATGAGGAATAACCAAAATTCTGTAAATATTTTGAAGAAATATTTTATTGTTATTAATTATTACCAAAAAAAATAGTAATAAATTCTATTTTATGCTATCATTTACGATTTTATTAAAAATAAAGCTACACTGAAAAAAATGATTCTAATATCGCATCACGGTGGTGCTATTTTCAGCTCAGGGGTATAATAAATTCTGTGCCTAGTATAGTAAGTGTATAGGTATAAAATATTACATACAAATTTAGAATAACTTTTTTTTTCGTGTACAGTTACATTGTAAAAAATATAACCATTTTATTTATGTATGAAATAAAATTATCAATTCAAATGCCAACTTACACACCAAAAGCGGAAAACCATCAAACTATTACCTGAATTAAATGTTTAAACGTTCGCTAAAAGCGTCAGTAATCCTTGATTCGTCCGACTAAATTGATTAACTCAATTGCTATGTAACTTAATGTTTAACTAATTTCAACAAGTGGCGCAGTTAATTACATTATACCTACAACTCTCGAGTAACACAAACCGCAAAGCTTTTCCCACGTTCATCATCTCGATCTCTCTATACTATCTATCTCTAATTTTATTCTGACGAGTAATACAAGCCGGCGAGCACTCAAAACTCATAACTCATAACAATTATCCTCGTAACAACTATAGGGCCAATTACTCATCCGCGAACCGTGTCACGAAAAAACGAATTTTTGATGCTGATAAAGCTTACAGCGGATAACAGGCCCGCAATCTATTGACAGCCTCGAAAAAACCAATAGGGTATAAATTTTCTGTATCTAAAAATCTAGACAAAATCTTGTTGACAAAATTCGAAGAATTATTGGTTAAATTTTTTTTTTTTTTTTTTTAGAGTAAAAAGTTTTTAGTTGTAAAATATTAAAATTATAAATTAGTCTTTTGTTGAGTTAAACTTGATATTATAATTGTTTGGTAGATAAAAAAAAATCACTTTTTACTCAACTAACCGTGAAAAATTTATTCTCACTGTCTGAGCCATGAAATAGAGGGTAGAAAATGCTCGGAAATAATGAAACAAAAAGAAATATAAATGGTGGAAATTAAAAAAAAAAAATAATGAAAGAAAAAATCTAAAAACGACTGGATAATATAAGCAGCAAGAATATAACTTAACACTTTTAAAAGTTATACTCTCAGTATAACTTTTATTTAATATATAAGACCAGAATAAGAGCACTTTTTATTATTTACCCTTCTCATTATCTGCAATTAGATTAACCAACTAATTACATCCCGCGTTGTGGAATTTACGACAAAATTAAATCTTAATCAGGCTTAATGAATAAACCATTGGAATTATTTGTTTATTTTCTTTTTTTTTTATGTTCGCGGATAATGATAACCTATGCATGTTATCAAGTTTTGCATTCACTTATGTACCTGGCAAACAGACCTCGAACATACACGAGGAGAGTAAAAGTCTATAAATCTCAGAGTAATCGATTAGCGCAAATAGGATGGAGGCTTTCAAATTATCCGTTGATAACCGGTTGCGTGACCGGAGTAATTTATTTAAAAATGTCAAACACTTGTTTTATTATAATTTTTATTTTACACTCTCACTCAAGTATTAGTTGATGGATTACATCACAGGGGCAATTTATCACCCGCAAAAACGTTGACGTTTTATCGTGTTAATACATTAAACTCTTTATTTAATCATTAGCATCAGCATTAGACCAAGCTTTCGTACGACTTATTAATTATCCGGCGTCTTATCAATCTTTTTATTAGTTATTTTTTAATTTCACTTAGCTTTTTATTTATTTATATTACTTGCTCACTAGTTAATGGAAAACTCGGAGTTTCTTAGCGGAAGTTACAAGTCACAAGTTTCTTTTAACGGTAATTAGCAATTGCTTTTTTTCAATGTCATACGATCGATTTTATCTTTTTGAAACTGCTTTCCTGATTTTAATTTTTACTTTGATCATTAATCATTGAGTAAACTTTCAAATATGTCAGTTGTTTTTTAAATATCCAAATTCTAGGGATCTAAAGATGTGATAAGTTGAGACACTAGTAGGTCTCTAGTTATCTTGATGGCCAGGTAAAAAAATTTGGATCACCCCAACGGTAGTTTAAAACTACTGATATAAAAAAAATCTGTATAAAGTACAAAAATTTATTTAAAACTCTACAATATTTTTAATACGATCTTATTATTCATTTTTAAAGGGTGTGTTTTTATATTACAGCTAGATTTTTTTTGTAAAAGATGTAAACTGCGTAGAAAATGGAGACCAGGAAAGATCTGAGTTAAGTGGTTAGCTCTTTGGGAAGTGGTTTCGATTAGCCAGCTCGTTGAACCCGCGCCGTCATGTCGTACTGCTTCTTTAGCGCTTTTTACCAAAAAGATATAAAATAAAAATATTTAAAAAAATATAACAACCTCACTTTCTAAGCTTGACGGTAAATCTGAGTAAAACTCCCGAGAGATTTAAAAGCACTTGCAGCTCTCATTGAATATAAGATAAAATAATAGTTATTCATTTCCACAATTCATATTTAAGTAATTTATAGACTGAAATAAAATAAAGCAAATCGACTAATTTTTTTTTTTCATTTCTCGTTGCAGAACCCGGAGAGACTCGCAAAAAGGAATAATATA